TGCTGTAGTTGGGCCGGCCCAACTGTAGCGCTCTAGTTGGGACGGGCCAAACTATAGTTGGGACTAATGCTATAGTTGGGGCGTAACAAATACGCTGTTTTACAAGTCTAGTCAGCACCCATTAGTTGTCCGATAAAATAATGGGGAGAAACCCAAAAGACACATGAAACCAGATTTGGTAGTTTTTACTGGAGTAACTAAAATATATATTCACAAGCAACTGAACATTTAGTACACTTTCACTAAACTTACAAACAGTCGCTTCATTGGATGCACGCGCTCGGAAACAAGTCCCACCCCGTGTCGTTCGGCTACTGCGACTGATTTACGGTAAACATGAGAAAGGATACACGTCCACGCGTAGCGCAATCTTCCTTTGTGTAGTCTGCTAGGCTCAGTATTAATACGTGTATCACTATCACTTTAGCTAGCTCCTCATCAAAAACATGTCTTCTTCACAGAACAATTCATCAGAAGTGAAGCGCCCTAATAAAATAGTGAGGTAAGCATATAATTGATCTTGGAGTAGGCCTGGGCTACCCTGAATTCGTGCATACAACGCGTATCCAATTCAACATGTCCAAGTCCAAGAAACATGGAAGGGCTGCGTACATGTAGCACCGTGATCAGACATGTCAGAATATCGACAAGAATATAATATCAAATCAGTGCTCTGAAATACATGTATGTGATTGCCGAGCTTTCAGTAACTGAGTACCTTCTTCAGGGCAAGCAGATTCAGTTCCTGCACACTGAAGGACTTGTCTGTCCAAGATTCCGTTGTTTAACTACAACTTTCTCATTGTGAAACTCTTCAACGAAATTAGGCCAAGGCCTATGCACTGACGTTAATCACGCTGTCGATGATCGTTACTTCAACATTTTTCTTTTTGCAACTAGGTTTAAGTATATGCGATTAAAATTCCTGGGAGAATTCGGGGAAAATATCCACAGACAGAGCAACAGTCAGACAGTCCGGGAAGTGCACAAATTACATGTAGGAAACGTTTCCCAATTCAAAAACGTGGACAATACGATGACGGATGACGGGCGTGTTATTCTTTCCGCTGCAATCTTTTGGCAGCTTTTTAGTTTTCTTTTGACCTCTTTTTTATCTGATGCTGTATTTTTTAGGTTGTTGAAGCAGTTTTTTACCCTGTCTTGTTTGAACCTGGTCTCGGATGTTTTAACCTTCTTTTTAGAGCATTTTATTGAGTTTCTCTTTCCTGTTCTGTGGGTTACATGTACGTTGGAATATTCAACTTGAATGTTGCAACATAGCCCACAGAATCTTGAATTTCAAGGTGGTGGCTAGCAAGGCAGGAAAATTTGGCATAGGCTACATGTACATGTATGGACATTTGTGTTACTGAGTGTCTATGTGCTACTACATGTAGCTACTATTACTCAGTAGTACTACCTCAGAACTGTGGGGTCTGACGTCCATTCCACTCCCATGAATGGGAGCGGGGTGGATATTGGACCCCACAGTTCTGGGGATACCTACCAGTAGCTGCTAGTCTGCACAACACTTATCATAACCTCTGTGGTATCCCTAGCCTGTTATTGACCGTCCAGCAGCACTCATCAGGTGGGACCTCTCCTAATCATTTTCCCCGCTCACTTACCTTCGTGACATGCAATTTTGTGATCTGCAAGCATGACAAGCAGGCATATCGTTATTGGCAGACATGACCAGGATGACGTCTCTGGTAACAGTGATATGCAGTTCTTAGTTGAACTTGAGCAGTCTTATATGTTTTTAGCTGCAGGTATTTAAGTGGGAAATACTTGTGTTTTTACAACATCAGTCCCTACACCATGTTTGTTCTTTGGCTACCTGAACTACTGGTATCGTGACCTTGCAACTTCTCCTGCAGTTAGTGGAAAGCATGAAAAAAGAAATGTGTTCGTGGGATGCGACATTCCGTCTCCAAGTTACACACTCATCAGTATGCACTTAAACCTTTTGATGAAGAAAAATTCCATATCAAGCTGTCTATGATGTTACAAGTTGACGACACCATCTTAAGCCTGTCAAATACAAGTGTTACTCAGTCTTCAGGAAAAGTCAGCAAGCCAAAAGCCACTTCCTCCCCACTAACCAAATCAGCCACTAAACTCTCAAAGCAAACAGCTTCCAAAACTACATGTAACACCAATATGTGTGTTGTGATCACAAACTGTAATGGCCTTCTTGGGAAGAAAGAGGCATTTGCAGAGACGGTAAAGGATTCCAATCCCCATATTATCTTAGTGACAGAATCATGGCTTAAACCTGGTATTAATGATAATGAGTGCATTCGGATAATTACATGTACACAGTATACAGGAAAGATAGAGAAGGGAAAATGGGAGGCGGTGTCTTCATTGCTGTAAGGAAAGGTTTGATGGCAACCCGCCTTGAGTTTCTCGATGTAGAGCTGATATGGGTTTCTATCCAGATGGCTAACACCAAGCCAATTTACATTTCCTGTTTTTACCGTCTACCTCACCAAGGATCTGATTCTATCCCAAAACTCCCAAATTCACTTGAAAAACTGGACTGGAAGAACCTTACAGTTTTGATTGGGGGTGATTTTAATGTACCGGATGTCATCTGGGAAGTACCTTGTTGTAAGTTCAGTTCTGAATGCAACTACATACCCTGGTGAATTAACTTCTGAGCTCTGAATGTACTTGACGATGTTTCTCTTGTTCAACTTGCACATGAGCCTAATCATAATCAGCAAACAAGATCACATAATGTGCAGAATATCCTCAACCTGTCTTTCAAATCCATGCTGCTTCCATCCCCTCAAGACTGAGCCTGGTATTTCAGATCATTTCAAAGTCATCACAGATGCTGAAGCTAGACCTTGTATGAGAGAAGGCAGATTTATCATTGGCACAAAGCAGACAAGGATGGCCTTAAGGAAAGCTTGAACCAGTTTAGAACCAGGTTTGAGAATACATGAACATGTAAATGTAACTAAAAATCAATCAATGAAAACGGGCAGAGTTTTGTTAGAGGTTTACGAGATACGGTTGATGAACATGTGCCCTCTTCGCTGAAGTCTTCAAGATTCAATCTTCCTTGGCTAACCAGATCACTCAAACGATTGAAACGAAAGAAGAATAGGGCCTTCTATGCTGCAAAATCATCCAACACCGATCTACTATGGAAACGATACAAAGCACTTAGGAAACAAGTTCTAATGTGACTTACGGAAGGCTGAACAAGAGTATCTCTCTTCAACTACATGTATCTTTGAGTCACTATGCAGACAAATGTCAAGAAATTTTGTTCCTTCATCAAACACTGGAGATGGGACACCTGTTGTATCACAGCACTTTGGAACCAAGGTTCATTAATGAGCGATGCAAAGCCGAGGCACTTAGTAAACACTATGAGGCAATCTTCACCACGGAAGACACCTCTCATATCCCATCTCTTGGAAAGAGTCCATTCCCAGAAGTGCTAAATCTCACAATTACATGTAGCTTGCGTGATATTACAAAGCTTCTAAATGAGCTCAATGTCAATAAAGCCCCCCTCCCAAACCACATGGAATCAAACCCCATGTGCTGAAAATGTGTGCAGAAGAGATTGCTCTGATGCTTCAGATCCTGTTCACACAAAGCATCACAACCGGGAAGCTTACGAGGGACTGACGATGTGCCAACTATCTGCATTATATAAAAAAGGGTAGCAGGACAGACCCAGCCAACTACAGACCAGTTTCGCTCACATCAGTGATCTGCAAGTTATTGGAACACATTAGTTATCGTCATGTTATGAATCATCTTGAGAGATTTGATATCTTGAGCGACCTCCAGCACGGTTTCAGGTCACAACGCTCCTGCAAAACCCAACTATATTATCCACCATTCATCATATTTTTAGTGATGCAGACAAAGTCAAGCAAGTACATGTACCTGTAGATGCCGTCAGTTTAGATTTCACAAAGGCATTTGATACAGTTCCCCACAGACGCTTGCTTCACAACATGAAATTTATGGTCTGCGTGGCTCATTGCTCTCCTGGGTATCAGATTTTCTCACAAAACGTGAACAAACTGTTGTTCAGGGTAAATCGTCCAAACCAGTCCATGTAGCCTCATGTGTTCCACTGGGCACAGTGCTGGGGCCACTCCTTTTCCTGTGTTATATAAACGACCTTCCAGATGGCATCTCGTCCAAGGTTTGCCTATTTGGAGATGATTGCTTAATCTATTGTTCTATTGAAGATAGAAACAACTTCCTTGCCCTCCAGAATGACTTCCATAAGTTAGAAAAATGGGAAAAAACGTTTAAATCTGAAAAGTGTAGTATCAACCGGTTCACATGGAAATGGTCTCCAACTCATTTCAGTTATTCACCGTCTGGTCATACA